GAATAAAAGCAAAGAAAAATCACAATCTATCATGTAAGTAGCGGGAAGTGCACATTTTCTCCATGAATTGTCTATAAAGTCACACTTAATAATTTTCATGTCAACAAAAATTAATAGTGTAAATTGTTTATAATTAATAATAATATAACATTTATTTTATCCACTAATTTTTAATACGGTCAGTTAATTTTCTAAGCCTTAAAAAATTTAAAGATTTTTTAAGTTAGTTTTTATTTCCAAACGTGCATAACCCCTATTTGGTTTAGTTAAGAATCATATTTTTATTTTGATAAAATATGATTGAAAATCAATAAAAGTTGTGAATTCTATTAAAAATATGTGATTGAAAATGAGCGTGAGAAAAAATAAATTCCAGAAAATAGGGGTCAAAAGGAAATTTTAGTATCTTGTTTTCTCAATCAAATTCATGGTTACTAGCTACTTCTTCTTCTTTTTTTTTTTTTTCTAAGAGGGGATAGTTGATACGAATTAAATGGAAAGCATTGAATTTGCTGCTTTGCAAATGAAGATTTAGTAGTACTATTAGTTAAAGAAATGCATTTCAGTGTGTTCTTAAATACAAGAATTACAAGCCCCTTCAGGGCTATATTCATTCAAGATGGACTCCAAAATCCAAAGCTTCATTAAGGTATGTCTCACTGCATTTATATCTCTGATTTACTGCTACTACATAGCGGCTCGCCTCCCTGGCGGCGCCACCAGGTTACTCTTCATCCTCCCCGTCTTTTATCTCTTCATCATGCTTCCTCTCCATCTTACCTCCATCTACACTGGCTATGCTACTATTTTGTACCTTGTTTGGCTTGGAAACTTCAAGCTCCTTCTCTTCTCCATCGATCAAGGCCCTCTTTGACGCAGAACGGAAGTTCTAGGGTTTACCAGCGTAATCTCCAACAAAAGAAAATTGTAAATCTCGAGAAAATAACCTCAAAACTGGAATTGCATTATTGAGAAAAACAAATAGCCTTTAAATAGTCTCCGCAAATCCTAATTTAAGCAAAAAGACCAAAATAGATATCCACTTAATTAAAACAATTAAAAACGAAAAAAACAAAAACTTCAATTTCCCGGTAGACTGCCTTAAACTGCAGATTTGACGCCGAAAATGCTGTCAATCGGGGAACCCGGATTGAGATATTGTAGAGCAGCTGCGAGACGTTTTCGAAAATATATTATAATAAAAATTCTGACACTTGTGCAAAAAGTTATGTCCGTTTCTTCGAAACAGCTCGTTTTGACAATTTTCGGTCCAATTCTTCTTCAAACTCTAACGCCAATTGTCCTACATCACCCTCCCCCATTTCATGTCCATGGGCCTCCATCCTATCAAAACCAAACACACCCCATCTTGCCAATCTTTTTCAAAAGCCAAAGTTTATCATCAACAGGCTGCATTTGTTCTTAAGGTTGCTCTTGTGGTTATAATTGTTCGTATATATGAGTATAGGGAGTATGTACCACCGTATATAATCTGGGCTCTGTACTGTTGCCATCTTTATCTTGCTATCGAGCTAATTTTAGCCATTACCGTAGTCAGGGACAAATCCAGAAGATTTGTTCATCTAGGGCAGAGTCGCGGAGACCATTAACTGGTGGCCATTGACAATCAATGATTGCTATAGCCGTCCCTAATTTCCTAAAACCCTAAATTCCCAAATCACAATTCACATTACACAACTCAAAATTATAAGTCATAAACAATAATATGCCATAAATTTTTATTTCTCATTATTCGAAATTCACAAAAACTTAAAAAAAAAAAGAAAAAAGAATGCACTATGCAGCACGGTGCACATGGCACCCAGTAAGGCCACTTCATTCTGAAGAACTTATATCAAGAACGAGGTGACGCATAAAATACTTAGCGAGATAGCTAAATTCTATTTACAAAATTTATTAAAAATCCATACAACAAGAAGAACACTAACACACACAAAAACTAAAAAAGAAGAGATATTTCCAGTAGACAACCTCTTTTCAACTTTGAGGCCCTCAAAATCCAGAATCACAGTCCACACCACATAGTCCACACCACATACTTCACAGATTCATAATTCACAGAAAAATCCAGGTTCACAAATCAGTAATCACAACTCTGATAAGGGCAAGATTAAGATTCAAGAATCCAAGACAAGATGCCAAGATTTTTGAGGTAATACCTTCGATTTCAATTTTCGAAGCTCCAGCCGATAGCCTCCAGATACTGCATGTCTGCACCAGACCATCGACCACAGTCAAAGACTCACAGGCACAGCCACTCAGCCACAGGAATTTCGCCCTCGTTCGTAATCATCAGTCGCTACTCTCCTCCTCTTTCTGCCGAACAAACAATGGGTAAATGGAAATAGTAATTGATTTGGATATGGTTAAATTGGATAAGTTGTGTGGGCTAATCACTAATGGGCTTACAAGTTTCAATTGGGCATTTTTTAAGTAAGGCCCAAAAAAATTAAAACATGACAGAAACGGAATTCAGAAGAAGGCCAGACAGAGACAGCAGCAGCTCTCCTTTAGTCCTTCTTCTTTCCAGCGGACGACAACTTGGCGACGAGAACCTGCAGCTTCCGGCGGACCCAGTACGGGCGGTCGCGGGGGCTGGCCGGTGCTGGGTCCGCCCTTGACCACAGTTTCAATGAAGTACATTCTTGGACTGGATTTGGTACCACAGTTCAGTGAGCCTTATTTAGCCACTTCACTGCAAGACTTTTGGGGTCGTAGATGGAACCTCATGATCAATAGTATTCTACGCACCGCTGTATATATATCCTTGTACAGTGCATTTCTACACGTGTTGTAGGCAGCAGGTGGACGC